TTTGCCACATTTTTTTCCTTCAAATATCTTCAAGGTATAAGTCCAAACAATGAGCTAAACATGCTGTCCAATACAAATGTTTTCTCTTCTCCATTAGTCTTTTTCCTGCGGCCTTAAGTGCTGCCTCGTTATCAGTAATTATTTGAACAATGTATTTTTCTTCAATTTCTTCCACAACTTCATCTAATAATCTGTAGTAAAAGTTTGTATCTCTACTACGAACACTTAAAACATCTATAAATTTCCAAAAAATAGTCCCTTTACTACAGTAAACAAGAAAATTAATGATATGCATTTGATTCAAACTATTAGTCCAACCATCACACATCAAAATGACACCCAATTCATTCCAATAAGCTTTTGATCCATTAACCCATTCATGAACTTGTTGATACTCAGACTCTAAATACACATGTGAGGCCTCATAAGGTGTTGGAAGTCTTACATGTTGGCCAACTTCTGCTACCACGAAAATCAAATTATGCAACCATGGGGAATTTGCTAATTGAAAAGGAAGTCGATCATATATCAAAAATTTTGATACTGATTCACCAATTTTTCTTCTTAATGTCTTTAGAAATGAATCACTTACTTTTGGTTGCTTGAACTTTTACTTCTAACCAATTCATGAACAACTCCCCTTAATGAAAATTCAGACTCATTTGGAGTTGATTTCCTTGTTTTTTCTTCAAAATATTCAGCAACTGAACCATGAGAGCTCTGTCCTTCTTCATATATGTTACTCCAACCACTAGTTTTTTGTTTGAATTCTTGTCTTCTATGCCACTCATGTTGTGATTGGATACTATCTCGCATGGCTTGTCTAGTAGCAATATCTTTATCAATAAATCCTTCATAATCATCTTCCCCTCTTAACTGTGATAAAAATTTATTTTTTCTTCTTTTGTTGTAAGCTTTTTTTGATTTACTTTCTTGAAGGAGTTTCATCATACTTTCTCTTACTATACCTATTAATAATATAGTTAAAAAAAAAAGAGAAAATTAGTTGCACATGCTTATGTAATTTTATAATTTTTATTAAGAAATTAACAATAATATTTTCAAAGAAATTAAAAAAACATAACATACCAGTAACGTTGGGGCATGGTGCAACATTGCCAGTTTTATAAGCAATGTGTTCTTTGAAACGTGTTATTCCTCCTTTTACAACTTTACCACAAAGTTTACATGAAACATTTCCTCTTGTATTTGGCACAGGTGTTCCAAAATGCCAACCTATATCATCACTTGGCACGCTCTCTACTCCTTTACTCGAGAACTCTTCACGTGGTGGCATACTTACTATTTTGTATAAAAATAAAATAAACTTATATTTAGAAATATTAATATTACTTATTACATCATTAAAAATTGATTTTACGCTAAATTTTTTAATTTTTAATTTTTAATCTTAAGAATATTATTAAATAACTTAATCTTTTTGATGCACTAATTGATATTAATTTTTTTATCACAAATAACTTCAAATAATTATATAATAAATACAATCTTTAATAATTACACAAAAATAATAAGAATTAATCTAATATCAAAAGAATTGACAACAATATAAATATCAAAACAACAAAAAAATTATTAAATTTCATATACAAAATTATAAATTAATATCTAGCACAATCAAAATATAATATTTAATTTTAATTAATTTTTGTCTAACTTATATAAAAAATTTATCAATAATTTTCATCTACAATCTCTATGTATATCATATTAAATTATTAATATCTTATTTTTTTTAATTATAAATCTTCAATCCCTCTAATTAGATTTTATCTTAAAAAATTTTCAAAAATTAAAAGTTTTCAAACTTATATTTTAATAAAATTTTCAAACCTATATTTTTTATTTTTTAGTTTTTAATCTTAATAAGAGTAATAGATCATAAAATGCTAAATTTGTTAAGTAACTTAATTTTTTTGATACATTAATTGATATAAAAATTTTTTTATCACAAACAACTTTTAATAATTATATAATAAACACAATCTTCAATAATTACACAAAAATAACAAGAATTAATATAATATCAAAAGAATTGACAATAATATAAATATCAAAACAACAAAAAAAATTAAAATTCATATACAAAATTATAAATTAATATATAATACAATCAAAATATAATATTTAATTTTAATTATTTTTCATCTAACTTATACAAAAAAATTTATCAAAATTTTTCATTTAAAATATCTATATATTATATTAATTATAAATTTTTAAAACCACTAATTAAATTTTATCTAAAAAATTTTTAAAAATTAATTATAAAATTAAATAAAAAAAATTCAATCCCACCCTCCAAACACCCTACCACACCCAATCCCTCCCCACCCCATCAATCCCTTTCCATCTTCCCCCCAACATCCCACCACACCCAATCCCTCCCCACCTTCCCCCCAAAGTCCCACCACACCCAATCCTCCCCACCCCATCCAATCTTTCCACGTGCCTAATATATCAGATTTGTTTAATTCATTCTAGCAAACCGAGACCCTTCTAAAAACGCACCCTTTCTCTGTTCATCTTCTTCTTCGTCTTGTATCTTATATTTTTTGGCTTTCCAGAAATTTTTTTTTATTTTTTTTTTCATCTCTCATTTTCTCTCACATCTCTTTATCACTATCACTTGCTGACTTGCCTAGTATCTACAGATATCTCATTCGTTTTTCAAACTCTCACAAGACACAACAGATCATTTTACATAAATTTTACAAAAAAATAAATAATTTAACTTTCTTTTCTTACCTTGTTTGATCTTGAATGTTGATTGAAAACTTGAAGTTGATTTGAATTTGAATGCCGAAAATGCCGTTTGAATGGTTGAAAGTTGAAACTTGAAATAATTGATATGTTTTCTAACTCGTTTTAAAATTTCTTTTGATGATAAAGATCTGAGATTGTGACTTGTGAGCTTTATTTTTTGATTTGGTTTTTTTATTTTTACTTTTGCAGGTCTGTTGTTTTATTTTGCAGGCTTAAAATTTTATTTTTTTGCTAAAACTATTAGATCCGTGAGTAGAAAAACGGAATAGTGACAATAACGGTCCATTATTGCCGCTATTGCTCATTACACCGTTATTTTACGGTCGTTACTCTCCATTTTTACTGTGAATGAATTTTTTCACCGTTTTTTATTTATTAACGGTGACGGAAGACAACACTACTATAATTTTATGGCCGCTATTATGCTATCATAGCGTTATTTGAATCCCTGATATCAGCATTACATAAACACATTACACAAGCCATTAAAGCCACCACCTTCAACCTTTCTGGCACCCACACGGTGTTTTCCCCGATCAATATCCTTCTTTCTATCCCCTCCGCCGTACACCTGATCACCACCCCTCATCTCTCCTTCTTTGTACCACCCTCACCCTCTCTTCTTTTTGATGACAATCCTAAGCTCTCTCATTTAACCTGCTTTCCAACTACTCCTTTACGCTGAAACCTGAGGTTGTTCATCCTCGATTCAATCAAGCTTGATGGAAAACTGCTTAAAAAACAAGACTTAGTGGAAGAAGAAGAATAAAGTACTAATGATGTAGTAGCCATTGATGGAGAGAAATAAACAAGACAAAAAGCTTGAAATGATCAGTTAGGATTGCCATTAAAATGAAACTTTATATTATAAAATCATGTATTATATTGCTGCAGATTTTGCCTTCTCTGCATTAAAGAGAAGGAATAAAAGAAAAAATTGTTGTTAGGGAAAGACAGAGACGATTAGAGATGATCGATCTCCTTGTGAATATATAAACACCACTCAATTAAAGGTACTTTGGTCACTAAAAATTTATGTTCCCTTGTGCTGACACATGATTTTGCTCACTCACCTCAAATTCTCCAATCGCCACCAATTGTTTGCAGGTTACTGGGATTTGACGGTCTCAAAATTTATCCTCTTTTTTACAGATGTGGTTGTAATCTGTTATATGGTAAAACTTATTTCAGACTCAGTTAAATTTATCCTAGATAGCTAGAGCATGAAACAAAGGTTCGTTTGTTCCTGTTACTTATTTAATTTAAAATTAATTGATAATAAATAAAAAAATTTAATTTAAATATAAAATTAAAAACATTAAAAATTTATTAAATATAAGATAATATTATATTAATAAGTTCATTACACGTAGATGAAGATAAAAAAAAAATTTTTACGTGATAAATTAATAAAAGATAATAAAAAAAAAGTTTTAATTTTGATATAATGTTAAGTATCTAACTTAAAATTAATTGATAGTAAATAAAGAGGTCAACTTAAATATAAAATTAAAAATATTAAAAATTTATTAGATATGAGATAATATTACATTAACATATTAAGAATCATTTTTATATTTTTATATTTTTAGATATTTATTTGATAAAAAATTAGTTAATCAATGAAAAATAATTTATTGATCAATAAAAATAAAATTATTTTTTTAAAAATTATCTTAAAGAATTAAAAAGGAATAGACATTTTTTGCAAAAAAATTATTTATGAATAAAATTATTTACCAATATTTTTTAACATAATTTTACTTATAAATAATGTTATATTAATAAACAATATATTATTAATATAATATATTAATAAATAATATAAAAATAATAAATAGTTTTATTTTAAATATTTTATATTAACATAACATTTTAATACTAAATATTATTATTATAGCATAATTATTTTTTAACATTAATAATTTTAATAATAAATAATTTTAATATAGTTTAATAATAAATAATTTTAATATTTTAATAATTATATTAATATTATTTAAAAAAAATTTCAAAAAATAAAAAAATATTTTTTATTAACTTATCAAAATAATAATAAAAAATCTCTTTAAATTTTAAAAATTAAATATTTTTCAAAAATTATTTGGAGTAAAATGCGCACAAAAAAAACTCAGTTACACAGTCGATCTATCTTAATAAATGACAATCAATCAGAAAAGTGGAAACATCAACCTCAGCCGCTGAAACCAGCTCACACGTGTTTGAGTTTCATAACGCATATTGTTTTCAATCTTTAATTTTACGGATTTCCCGCCCCTCATCCCCTCCCTCTCTCATTCGAAAAACCAGTACCAAGACCACTTGAAAATTCATAAAAAAAAAGTATTTTTCCCCTTCGTTTTTCTTTTCCAATCAAATATGAAAACAAATCGAAAGCTCAAGAGATCAGATCCAGCATCATCAAAGGTACCTAGCGCTTAAATTTCTAATCGATCCCTAATTGATGGTAACAAAAGAAATTGAATAATGTACAAATCTAATCAGATTTTGATTTTTTTTTATCGCAGCTGGTTTTGAAAGAGGTTATTGGATTAACAACGAAGAATGCTAACGGATTAGCTTCCAGCGTCTTAACCTCGACCTGCGTTTACGTGGCCGGTTGCGTTGCGGTGGTCTACGATGCGGAGTCTGGAACTCAATCGCATCTCATGGTCGCTCATCGAATGCCTAAACCTTTGAGCTGTGTCGCCGTCTCTCGTGATGGCCGCTTGGTAGCTGCGGGAGAGGTGCCAAAACGCTTTGAATGGAATAATTTTTTGTTTAATCTGCTCATTGATTCTATTTTAGAAGTATATATTGAGTTAGTAGTACATTTTACTTTTCAAGCGAAAATTCTTTAATTGTAATAATTCATAATTTTACTATTTTTCTATGCTTAATTATGTATTTTACTTAAGCTTCTCTTTTGTTATGTATACGAATCTAATGTGGTTTTGCAGTCAGGGCATCAACCTTCAGTGTTAGTATGGGACTGTGTGACTCGTGCCTTCATATCTGAACTGAAAGGTCATCTGTATGGAGTTGAGTGCATTGCTTTCTCACCCAATGGTTAGTTACTATCAATGGATTGAGAAATCTATCTCATGGTTATGTTTACGTAACCTGCCTTCAACCATTTTAATTGTTTTTTAGGGGAACATCTGGTGTCTGTTGGAGGATACATTTACCTTTGGGATTGGCGGAGTGGGATTTTGGTTACAAAGCTCAAAGCAACTTCATCTTGTTCTGCTGTTACGTCCGTCACTTTCTCTTCAGATGCAAAATACATTATTACTGCTGGAAAGAAGCACCTGAAATTCTGGGCTGTTGGAGCATCTCCAAGGACTCGTATGAGCAAAGGGATAATGTCACTGTCTATTCATGCGAAGCCTATTAATCTTGGTCCTCAGAAAGGGAGTTCGTTTGTATCGGTCACGTCCACCATCAAGACTGATGGTAGCGTTGTGAGCTCTGATCAGGTTGATGAGCTTTTTCCTATATTCGCGCTGACTGATGCAGGTTGATTGTTGCTTTATAGTTTATTTAAGAGTTAAAACTATTAGAATTTCTAAAGCATAGTCAATAAGTTTGATCCCTTTGCTTTTACTTACAGGAGTTGTATGCCTCATAGATTCTAGGATGTCTTTAAGAAATTCGGTTGATTTAAAGGTATGTTTGACTTCCAATCCTATGTTGTTTGTCGTTGATACAAGTGAACCAGCACCCCGAGGAATCTGGGAATTTTTTTTGTGGTCCAACATACTAAGTAGGCCGTCAAGAAGGATTCAGAAAGGCCCATGTTGGAGCCATTGTCATTCATAAAATTCAGGCATAATGATCATTTTCCAGAGTCTCAAATTTTTGGATATGATGAGGATTTTATTTGTACTGTATGCTTGGATACTTTGGTAAGTGAGGATTGCGTTTTGTAATAGTTGATTGTTGCTTGCTAACACAGCTGGAAAGTTCCTGTAACTGAGGCTTCTAAATGACAGAATGTAATTTAGACAAGATGTTTATAACTTGTACTTGGAGAATCAGGCTGATGAAAGCAGTTAGTAACATGTGGCCTTGGCCGTCTAAAACTGCATGGAATATATATCAGTTATTGCAATTGAGATCATGTTTGATGCATTCAAAAATTAACTTTCAGGTTGAAAAAGGATTTGCACTATCTGCATCCAGCAACTTAATTGCTTGTGCATGCAGTAATGGACTAGTACAACTCTTTAATGTTGAGGATCTCAGATATGTGGGAAGTCTACTGTATTCTAAGGCCAAAACATGCCATGGAGAAATTGATCTTTTTGGCCCTAAAGCCAGTGAAAAAAATTTTCAATCAGCTCCTACTCTTCCTGATGCAATTGCTTGTCAGTTCATCTCAGAAAAGCTTGGTGAGCTTATAGCTCAGTTTTCTTGACTCTTGATATTTCATCCTGCTTGTAACTCATAATAGTCAACTTTCAATTTTTCTCCTTTGCAGTCGTTGTCTATGGAGATCATAGTCTCCATATATGGGATTTCTATGAAGAGAATGAGGTGATTGTTTCATTAATGATAATAGTGTCCTTTTTTTATTTGTTTGAGGAAGAAAGCTTAATTCGGTACCTGTTTCTATAAGATACTGACTAGTCACAACCTAAATTCTTCTCCTTAAGTTGGTTTTTTGAGCTTATTAATAGATTAGAACTTGATTATGCTAACTTTTATTGGCATCCTCGCAGGCTACCAGGTCCTTTGTTCTTATTTCTCACTCTGCTTGTATATGGGATATCAAAAATCTGTGTTGTGAAAACATGCACGATTCATCTCTTATGTGCTCGGCTAAGGGATGTTCTGGAGGAGTCTCCTTTGCAACATGTTCAGCTGATGGCACAATTAGGTTATGGGATCTTGTCCTGCAACCTGATTTATTAAGGGATACTTTTGACAATAATTCTTTGATCACTGAATCAGTGGGGACTATGAATATAGGTAAAGGAACATTTATAAGAGGTCCTAGCATTACTTGAAAACATTTAAAATGTTCAGATGTTTTAATTTTCATTCCGAGCACCTTAAAAGTTTTGGGAGTTATTATGAACTTTTTATTTATAGTTAGTTTATTTTTCATGTTTCTAGCTGTGAAATGTGTTTAAGTTAATTTTTCATTGTATTTCCCCTGCAACTGCTGGGCTTTTTGAGCAGTAAGTGCAGGAAGTTTTGAAATTGCCACTGCAGATACGACTTTGGGAAATCAAGGTTTCCGCTCAATGGCAGTTAGTTCAGATGGAAAGTACATGGCTGTTGGTGATTGTGAGGGAAACCTTCATATCTATGATCTTCACAATTTTGATTATACATGCATTAAGGTAAATTTAGGGGCCATTATAATACATTATGATCTTTGTTTTTAAAAAAATTAAGTGCTGAATATAATAACTATGTTTGCCACCAGTCCCCTAAATTCTGTCCATCAAACAATAAATTATATCGTTTAATGTGACAGGATTCTCATGATGCAGAGATTCTCTCATTGAGTTTTAGCTTGTCGAGGACAAAGGGTGTAGATTCTGTGGGAGACACAGAAAATCATTACTTGCTTGCTTCTGGGGGACGGGATCGAATAATCCATCTTTACGATGTTAAAAGGTTTTCATTGAGTACTTTAACTTCTTTTTTTCTCTTTTTGAAATTTATTTGAGCTTATTGGATCTGTAAGTTATTTGCTTTAATGCCCTTTATGTCAGGAATTTTGATCTCATTGAAAGTATAGATGACCATTCAGCTGCTGTGACTGCTGTCAAACTTGCTTGCAATGGATGTAAGGTTCTGAGTTGCAGTGCTGATAGGTATGTTGCTTTATGTATAAAAATGAGACCTGAAAAAGGAAATATTGATTAGGAAGCTCCCTGAGAAAATGAGGAAATGAGACAAAATCACTGTTATTTAGGTTGTACTCTACGTAGTTTAATTTTGTTTATGGCATTTGAAATGGCTTTAATTTTTTAAATTACTTTAAACAAACAAACGATTTTGATATACATTTAGTATTTGTATCTTGTAATTTTTATTTTTATCAAATGATTACTCATTGTTGATGTCGATATGGCCCTAGTTAATGTTATTCTTTATTCCCCACAGGTCCCTTGTGTTCCGTGATGTCAGTTTAACGGATAGCAGATGTAAGATTTCACGTCGTCACCATCAAATGGCATCTCATGGAACTGTCTATGATATGTCTGTAGATCCACTGATGGAGGTTGTCGTCACTGTTGGGCAGGTAAGTTAGAATCTTATTATTAAGTAGGGAGTAATTACCATTATTCCAATGACGGCTTCAAAGGCTGCCTCAAATGATTTTTGTGCAATCAGCCCCCACATATCCGTCATATGGTAAATGCTTCACATTAAAAATAACCTTTAGTTGACTGTCTGTTTGACATAATTGGCAGATACCTCATGTTTGAAATCCCAATTCTTTTTTATTATCTGGTTATTGTTTATTTGTAGGATAAGAAGATAAACATATTTGACATTGTTAGTGGAAAGCTTACCAGATCATTCAAGCTAAATAAAGACTTTGGTGACCCAATAAAGGTGAGTTATGACTTCTGAGTGTAGGATGTGCACCATCAATGTTTCTACCACTGAAACTTAAATATGTTTGTCAGGTTACAATGGACCCTAGCTGCAGCTACATCATATGTTCATTTTCAAACAAGTCTATATGCGTGTATGATTTTATGAGCGGAGAGATGATTGCTCAAGCTGCAGGACATGGAGAAGTTGTGACGGGTGTAATTTTTTTACCAAATTGCAAGCATATAGTTTCTGTGAGTTTCTCTCAAGCTTAATTATCACATTTGACATCATGTATCATCTCTGTGATGGAATTTGAACTAATTCAATGCAAACTATATTTATCTTCGTTCACTCAATTCATCTGAATTTTATGATGCACTCAGGTAGGCGGTGATGGTTGTATATTTGTGTGGCAACTTCCTTCTCGCTTGGCTTCCAGGATGTTACAGAAAGTTAAGGAAAATTCTGTTTCATTATCTCCAATTACCCCAGCGCTGCCGGTGGCTTTTAGTCAAGCAATAATTTGTGGAGAGATCTGTGGAGAGGTAGACCAGCCATGCAGAATTGATTCCAAAGATTCGTTGCCAGCTGAGAGCTCCAGTCAACTCAAACAAAGAGCTACTTATCATGGATGGAATTCTCAAGAGACCTATGCATTTAAATTAAGCATTTCTAGACTTCCAAAATGGGCGCAAGACAAAGTAACAAGCTCTGATTTTGTCCAGAGAAATCTTGAGTTCACTTCACCCCAGGTATTTTTGACGGTAGACTGTGACATGTTTTGCCTTTCATAATTCTAAGGTGAAAAACAAAGAAAAGAAAAAAAGAAAAAGAAGTGGTTCCTTGACCTGTCATTTATAGGATTAATAACATAGTAACATTCTCTCCACTTTTGTTTTTGACGTGGCCTCGTACTAAATGAAACCTATAAGATTTTTGGAGTAATGCAAACTTCCATTAGGATTTAGGGATAATTTGGATAATAAAATATATGGTTTCAGTGTCGTAGAGATTTCCAATCAACACTTATCATAAAAAATGGCCGCCATATTACTTTGTGTTTTTGAACCATGGGGATTGGCACACCAGAGAATTTCACCATCTCTTATAGCAAAAAAGTTATTTTCCACTGCTGAAATGTTCTTTATTTCATTGATCATGATTTATCTTTCTTATTGATGCCTCCAAGGAAAAGCAAGTAGAACCAAAAACTTCATCACCTTTGATTAGCAATGGTGGGAGTCATGATTCATTGTGCCACGAATATCAAACTCCAACTGGTCATTGTTCAGGAGGCAGCAACTCGTGCCTCAGTCGCCTATGCAAAAGTTCTTCCAATTTTAGTAAAAGCAGAAGTTCTGCATCACCAGAAGAGCTTGCAAGGTGAGGTTTATTTCATCTCTTCTTCTTTCTTCTTCTTTACATATGTTATGCTAGCACACATTATTGGTTTCCTACCTCAAGCCTCACGCTCCTTTATCATCATTTCAGCCGCTCTGCCACAGAAGATCATTGGTTCACTATCTATAATGTACGTCTGGATCTTCTGAATTCCCCAGAGGTTCAAAATCTGAAAGATGTAAAGATGGCAGTGTCATCACCAAAGTTGGGTATGCCCAAATTTTGTCCTGAAATCAGATTTCTTTTAATGCTTTACTGTAATGGCAACATGATTGAAGAAAATGGTTACAATTGCTTAAGGCCAGTTTCTTGTAACTCATTATATTGGAAATTAAGATTCCAATGAAATTCAGGATGCAACTGAAGATATCAAATAGCAATGATTAAGGGGCTTGATACTCTGAGTGAAAGTCCAATGTCAAGAAGGAAAATTGATTAATCCAAATAATATATATGGACTAATTAACTAAGCTAATTTTAGCCTAAGATGGATTATTATTGACCTTTACGGTGTATCTTTTGCAGTGCAAGGCCTAGCTGAGATACCAAGTGAGAGTGAACATTCTTTAGGTAATAGGGGTGAACATACTTGTCTTAGGAGTTTTGATTTGCTGAGCAAGGATCAGAATAGTATTCTTGGCACGGAGGGTAGAAAAGTTTACCGCGAGGTAGTTTCTGATGTGTTGCATTCTGAAAAAACAGAGCAAGACGCTATGGATGTTAATGCCTTCCATATGAAGTCTGAGGACAGTGATCTGTTCAAGGAGCATTTTGGCAACCTGTCTGCAATACTCAAGGTTAGTTTTCCTGTTTGTTATATTTTAGATCAACTTAAAATCTCAAATGGTTTTTCATTCACAATTTTTGGTGAAAAGGGCGCTAGAACACTGGGTGGGTCTGGGAAACTGAATTATTCTGGTGTTTTACGATTTTATGCCAAGGGTCGGGCTATACTGGCTATACTTTTCTGCCTTAGGCTCTATAAGCTGCAGCGTGGAAACTGAAGTAAATTTTAGCATTTCAACTCTCCTTGGATATTTAGCCTTTTTCATTAACAAACGATATAAATCATTTCATTGATGTCAAATCTCTCAAAATTTTTAGTTTTCACCAAAAACTTATTACTACCATCCATTTACAGGTAGAGAAAAGGCAATCATCTACTAGAAGAAGATACTCTTCTCAATATTTTGTACGGCGGGATCATTTTGTGGGCAGTAAAAGACTTTTTGATACGTCTATGCAAAACATAGGTGTGTTAAACCTGGAGAAAGAATCTGCCATCAATGTCACTTTGGAGGATCCTGTGTTCCAGGAACAGCAAGTGGTAGGCTCTATCAATCAGGTTTATTTATCACTGCTGTGTTTGAACGATATAGTTTTTTTCATTCCCTTTAGTTAATGTATTGGAGGGTTATTTTGAGTAAAGTGAAGATGGAGTTTGTAATGATCTAAGGACTACCTGACTTTTTTCACGTTTTCTTTGGTACTGTTCTCACTTCTCACAGGACCTAAACTCAACAGAATGCCTGCTTACCCCAAGTTCTCCTTCTCGAGATGGAAAGGATAAAGAGGATTCATCAACCATTGAAGAAACCATGGCTGATCAAAAGCCATATGCTGATGGAGAAAGTGAAGCAGTACGGGAGAAAATCACTGCATGTAGGGAAGCATTACTCAGCCTGGATGCTGCTGCCGAGGATGTTTTCCAGTTATTTGCAAAATTAGGCACAGAATTCCCTATTGAAGAGTTTTCAAGTGCATCTGGAGCTCAGTTATACGATGAAGCAACTGAACTACTCCCAAAGATTGCTGAAAAAGTCAATGCTGTAGCTGAATTGGTACAAAATAATAATACTAGCAACATAAGTTCATCCAGAAATAGTGTCGAAGGCTCAACATTCGAACCCTTGTTAGGAACACTGGCTGAGAGCCTCTCAAAAAAGTTTGTTGAAATACTAAAACAGAATCTCGCCACTGTTTAACGCGTTTAAATGACGTATGACTAACATGTATAGTGAATTTTTTTGTAATAATCCGTGCAATTTTCTTGCTTTAAATAATATACCACGTTATAATACGAATACATCTTGGATTCGTTTAATTTTTATACCTCTAAAATTTTATTTTCTAAATTTTTTTTTTCACAAAACAACGGTGGCTTTAGAATTTTTTTTAACTGTTTGTTTATAACATATATATAAAAAAATCGACAGATTTATTAATTTTATAAATAAAAATAGCATCTATAGAAAAATTTTGAGATGTTTAAGAAAATTTTTTTTATTTTTTAAATTCTGAGATATTCATGAAAAAATTTTAAAAGTATTTATGAGAAAATTTCCTTTTAAATTTTTTTAGTTTTTAATTTTTAAAAGTGTCCATAACATCTTTACTCCAAAGAATGGATCCACCACTGTACAAAAGATTAAATTTTGATTGATAAAGAAAGAGAATCCTTGTCTTCGTTTATTTATTTATATTTTGCAAATAATCTATGCAAATTTCTTGCTCCACTAGAACTTGGACAGAGAACCTGGGTTTAGAGCCCAAGATGTTGGTGATTAAAGTAACACAAAAACATGCAAAACATGGCCCTTTTATTTTCCCTCAGAGGCCCTAAAAGTTTCCACAAACTAGTAAGATGAGAGAAAGGAGCAAGTCTGATCTTTGTAGCACTGAAACCAACAGGCTGGGCTCCATTGCGTAAAGCAAAATTTCGCAGAAAGAGAGGGAAAAAATTTTTGGATCTTTCTTGCAGGAACGCACACATCCTTTCCAAGCATAATTCTCACTGGCCTCCCTCAACTTTAACATTAAAAAGAAAAAGGGGGTGGGGAAAGAAAAGCAAACACTCATCTTTGCCTTTTCCCTACCTCTTCCACCTTTGAAAAAACATTTTCTACTGATGATTTTCATGCAGTAATCATATATATAAAATCAAAAATAAGGGTGAAAAGCTCTTTATTTTATTGTAAATTTCAAAGAATGTCAATTGCTAGTGTAGCTCTCTTAACCCTTACGTTAACCACGTCAAAGCAAAGAAGGTTTTTCCTAGAAACTATCCTGTATTTCGAGTCTTGAATGCCTGTCTGCTGCAATTCCATGCTTTTTTCTTTGCTTTACTATCATGCTAAACTCCCAATTCTTTCTTGGGATTCCTTCACTCTACATGTATAATTACATACTAGTAGTTTTTTTTTTTTTTTTAAGCTAATGAGTAGCCATGTCCATTTCCACGTGGAATTTCAGTGGTTTGAACTCCCTTACCATTATGATTCACCTTGTTCATGTCTAACCTAATTGCTAAAAATTAGACTAATCATTTCCAAGTCAGGCTCTACCCAGAGGCCTTTAGGTACCAGATAAACCATTGAGATTTTAGACTAGGGTAAAGAAGTTTTTTTACCATAATTTTTTGTTGGTAATCCATTAAAGATATTTTCTTATTTTGTTTGTATTTAATTTTTTTCAGACTAATTTAAAAATATAATTTTTCACTTTAATATAATGCATTCAAAATTTCTCTTAAAATATTTTTCACAAAACTCTAACTTTTTTACAAGAAATTGTAACATTATTATTTACAAAACTTGAATTCCACATTTTTTCTGCCAACTATGGTTTGATTAGAAGCTTTTAACCAGAAAAATAAGAAATTTGATCAAAAGGGGATCAGGGAAATAGCTATTAGCTAGGTATAGCATATCTTTTCCCTTGATGAGAGGAAAAAGTAATTGAGAGTGGCATGTAACAAGAAAAATGGGAAGTTGGGTGCATCCGCTTTTTATTGTCACACGCATGCACCGATCACTTTTTTTTTTTGCCTTGTATGATTAAGATAAAACAATAATGATTTCTACAAATGATTTCAAAATGAAACACTTACCTCATTACAATGAGGGAATAAAATGTGAAATGGGGTTTTTGGGAGAGACATGTTGGGGTCCAAATTGGAGGCTTTTTTTTTTTTTTTTTCTTTAAAGTGGGACTATCATTCATTTTCTACCCATTTTTTTAATTGGGAAAATAAAAAGCCTCTGATTTGTATGTGCTGTATGTTTTTTGTGGGGCAATGGACTCAATTAGATTGTCCTTTTGCCGCTCATAATTCTTTGGTAATGATGGAGCTTCCCTTTCTCTCTTTTATCTACAGTCAGACATGTATTTGCCCCTGAGGGTTTTCCTTTACAGCTTATTCTCCACGAAAAAAGAAGATATATTGGGAAGAAAAAAGAAAAATGTTCCAAGCAGGACTATATCAGAAGGAGAATATATAACTTTACCTGTGAAAATGGTTTCTGTAATTATGGACAATAATGATTTTAGTCTTATAATAAGACAACATAATTTGATATAATGAATGGGTTTGGCGAAATTTGTGGAATCCATTGGTGCCCATGTTTATCTTCTTTGCATTATTCAATTGTTTGCACTGTTTCCAAATCAATTTATCTTCATGATTTTAGCAGGAAAAGTGAGCTTTACAGCTCTAAAAGATGTCATTTCTTCTGCAGTTTGTACAAGTAAAATTAAAATCCAACGGTGCTATATCTGAGATTTTAGTCCTCCCTCAATTTAGGAACTTCACATTTTCTGCTTAAAATCTGTTCCCCATTTATGTCGGAATCATCAGCGGGTGGAATGAGGGTTCATTATCAATTAATGATGTTAAAAGCGATGCATAGCATGAACATATATAAATCATGGGAATTTCCATTAGGGTTACATTAATTGCCTGCCCTACCATGTTGTCAGAAATCATGTTATCATTTGCAAATATAATTGGGTTTAATTTTGCATTATTAATTAGGTTCTATTTTTTTAAAAATTTAGGATTTAAATGGTGAGAGAATGAATTTCTTTTGTTCTTTTTTTCATTGGGAAAATGACAAAATAAAAAAGAAAACAAAAGAAAGCTCATTCTCACTGCAAAAAGCTTCAAAGAAACAACTTCTAGTATGACTATCGAATCTTCAGTTCTTCACGAAAGAACAGAAAACAAACTTAAAAAATTGCCCCCAAATCCAAAAGCTTATACTCCTAATCTTTGTTTGCATGCCTCAAACAGTAGCGATCTGCTCCTTTCCAAGTCATCGGTAGGGAAAAAAGGGCACAAGAAACTCTTCTTTTTTTATTTTTTTTTCAAGATGTGAACACCTCGAATAGCTTTGGCTTCCGAATGCAAAGACAGATGAGCATGCAGCTTAATATGTTCACTGTTTACTTGACCAATTTCAAGTTCAGTAGCTCTCACCCTGAAATGGATATATTTTACTCTTCCAACTTTATTTATCTACTAGAATTAGACTCGAGCTTGGTTACGAGATAATTTTTATTTTTTAAAATTATATTTTAAATATGAGAGAAGTAAAATTTTTGTATTAAATCTTAATGAATTGTCAAATATAAATACATTTAATTTTTTAATATAAATTATAATTTAATTATGCAAATATAATTTTTTATTAAATTAAAATATTAAATAATATCTTTATTAATACAATACATATATATATAAATGTAAATTAAATAAGTAATAAAATATATTCTTTTTTATATATTCTAAGAAGGGTTGGGGTAAAGTATTTTAAACATGATCTCAACTTGACTCAAATTATTTATAGAGATAAAATTTAACTCAATTTTTATTTAAAAAAATTGTATCAATTGGATCATAGTGAATCGAAATCTATCGATATAGGTTATTTTTCATCCCCACATTGATTGGTATTTTTTTTTTTTACAAAATTTATCTAATAAATAAAAATTTAAAAATAAAAAAAGATAAAAAAAAATCAAATGGATCACATATGAATTTATTAAATCAAAGTATTAAATAATATTTTTTAATAATACATATATAAATATAGAATTAAATAATAACAAAATATATTTTTATATATACCAATGTCGAGGTATAATACTCAAATCTTGTTTTGATCTAAAGTCGATTTAAAAAAAAATCCAACTAATTATCTCAAATTAAAGGAAAGTGTACCTATTAGATCGAAACAAATTGAAATCTATTGAATACATGTTATTTTGTTATTTTTATTATAAAACAAATTGAAATATATTGAATATGGGTTATTTTGTTATTTTTATCTTAATTGATTTTTTATTATAAAATTTATGTAATAAAAAGCAAAATTTAAAAATTTTAAAAAAAATCTAAAATACCAAAAACTTGAACAAAAAAAAGAAAACAAAAAAAGAGACATATTATATGAATACTTGAGATGAAATGAAATATCTTAAATCTGTCTCTAACTAGATCCTAATTTAAAAAAAAAAAATCTAAAAAATCCAAAAACTTTAACAAAAAAAATGAAAACAAAAGAAGAGACATGTTATATGAATACTCGAGATGTAATAGAACACCTTAAATCTATCTTTAATTGGATCTCAATTTTTTTAAAAAATTGATTCAATTTTTATTTTTTAAAAAATAGCACTTATGTTGAATTATTGTGAATCAAAATTATTTAAATACAAATTGTTTTATCATCATTACTTTCGCTATCTTTTAAAATTATCTAATAAAAAAGTAAAATAAAAAATAAGTAAAAAATTTAAAAAAAATTGACAAAAAGTAAAATAAAAATATAAAAATAAAAAGAATGAAGAGAGGGAGAGGTGACAGGATGCCATCCTCTCCACACCCATTTCCTACAAAATTAAATAATATATAATATTGAAGAAGTGCCCATAAATCAAAGAGCAGAGATTCATTGAGAATAAAATCAATAAAAAGTAGTTGTCAATGACAAAAACAAGCCTTAGGACAACAAATAGCGCACAAAAAATAATTGATTGGAGAGAGACATGCATGGGTTATAGTCAATTGAAAGTCTTATTTGACATGTATAGCTTTGGTGGGAACTAATAAAATAAGTTGGGAGGACTATCACAATCTGAAATTTGAAGCAAACAAGAAAACATACATAAATATATACACATAAAGCTAAATCTGAAAACAATG